TGTATTCAGATATGTGCATCTTTATCTTTATTGATTTGTTATGGGGATTTCTATGTATGTATGTATTTTGTATATGAGAAGAGGAAAACGAAAATATGATGAGTATATATTCTTGATTTTAATATCTCTTTATGATTAAATACGTAAAAGAATTTTAGTATAACATAAATAAAAATAACAATCATTTTTTTAATGTTCAAAAATAATTATTAGTTACCAAGACGAGCAATAATTTAACGTTATAACTAACAATCTCCAAAGTTAAATTAAATTAAAAAGACAATTTTTTTGACATAAAATTGATTGATCGTATTGAATTTTCTACTACTTTCCTGTAAAAAATAAAAAAAAAGACATAACTTATCGTATTTTCCTCTATCTTCGTATAAAATTCCACTACTATACCTAATGATTTATAAAATGTATAAAAACTTTTGTAATTTTGACTATGACTTTTAAATTTTATTAATTGTATACGACTTTTTAAATAGATCGCTTCTGTTAAAATACTTTTAAAGAGAAAAAATTTTCGATTAAATTTTTTTAATTTTTAAGCAAATTTTATGTAACATTATATAACATTGTGAAAACAATGAATCCCCTGTAGCAATTCGATATTTTCCAGCAAACTACGAGAGAGTCAATATCGTCGCTTTTACACAATTCACGAGGAGCGAAAACTGTTTTATAAGAAAAAAAAAAAAAAAAAAAAAGAAGTATTATTCCGTAGCAGTCTATATACTTAATTTTAAACGAATCATAGAGATACGCTAAAGCAACGCTTAATGGCACAAGCTCAATTATTTATTAGTAAGAAAGGCTTAGTTTCTCATCTTTTCAGATATTTCACCAAGGAAATCGAAACACGTTTCTTTCGTCTATTAAGAATAAGGAGAGTTAATAGGAATAATTTCAATACTGCCTGATATTCCGAAACCGAGTGGATTAAACCGTATAAATGGCTAATGAAAAGTGTCCATTAAAGAATACCTAAAATTCTCTTGCATCGCTTCTGCGGATATAGGTGTGCGATTATCCGAAGATCAATTTTTACGAGTATTGCATTTTCTTAAGTTTAAGCTTGTTTTAACAATAAATGAAAAAAGAATAATAACAACAATAATAATAGTAATAATAACATGCGAAATAAGAAAGAAATAACAATTGATTGTATTTAACTGGAAAATTGTGAAAAAATACAAAAAAAAAAGTGTATAAATGATAGCTGTAGCTCTTTTAAAAAGCTAAAAAGTTATATAGAACTGACTTATACGTATGTGAGTACTGTAGTATTTATTTTAAACAATTGACCAGTAAATGCATTTAAAAAAAAAACCAGTTTAATTGCTTTTATATTGAGAGGAGAAGGAATTTATTTATTTATTCGTTTTCTTTATTGGATATTTTACTATTTCTCGTAAGTACTGATTGAAATTAATACGAAGCGACTTACGAAGATAATTTAATGAACTATCGGTATGGATCAATCGATCCCCTGTGAGTTCTCGAGTGATTTATTTGAAAACAAAAAATTTGATACTAAGAACTTCTATATGTAAACTCTTCAACTTAGTACGAATCATGTAATTTATTTATATTTAGTGAAGCTGTTCTAAATATATCACTATATTAATCAGTATTTGTTATAACGGCAAATAGTTTCCCAGGCAGTACTTGATTTTAAACAATTCTCTATTTCCTATATTTTTTAAAAGCTCTTGTCATTATAAGTCAATTGTGCAGTTCTTGAAATAATCTTTTTTCAAATCGTTCATACGCTGTTTTTTTTTTTATAAAAATTCATTTTATTATTTCATATGTCCACAATATATGTACATATAGAATTATTATTTAACATGTAGTATTTTACATGTAGAGTTACTGTTTAAGATTTAGAAAAAATCTTTAATCAAATTTTGATAACAGCATCAGTTATATTCTTTTAATAGTAATAGTAATAATTCTTATAATTGTATAAATACGAATTTGCCGGGGAATGTATTAGCCATGTTTGTGGTGTCGATCGATCAGTATCAAACATTCGATTATTTATCACTATCGATAGTGCCAACTTCAAGAACAATAGTACCAAAAATACGTATGGAACATTTTTCTTATTGTTATCGAAAACACGTGAATGACTAATATACATACGTTTTACTAACATTGTTTATCACTTTCTACGCATTTGTACTTTAATAAACAATCGTGAAACTTTTCAGGTATGTTCGTTCAAAGTTTCACAATACAATGACTCTGTCTGAACACATTTCGGCATTTTGTTACGGATCATTTCGGAATAACTATGCGAACTATGCGCTGCGTGCTACAATTGTATTTCTAGAACGAGCGTCCGTTAATGAATCATTTGTTAGTGATTTTCCTGTTGTATGCAAAGTACATATTTTGACAGATAATGCGCACACTATGAACAACGATACAAATTTGTCACATTTGAACATTGTGGGGAATATTATAACATCAGGAGTAAATAAATTTTTATTCACTTTTAAGGTTGTTGTATTCTTCCCTTTAAAGTTCAAACATAAACTGTCGAAGAAAGCTCACACACGAGAACTGAAAACTATAGTAATATCGTATTTTTCAAAATTTCAAATTTAATTTTTATTTCTTCAAAATATCAAAATGGAATTATTCGTGGGATTTTATTTAAAATACGAAATACTAAATATAAATTTCTATTTATCTCATTCCAGATTTGTCCTTTCCTTTCGATTCATCGATAATCAAAATCGCTTCGAGTTTCAGTTCTTGTCTCCTCGATCATTAATTCACGTTTCGAAACGAGGGAACGTGGTCGTTCCCTCATGTCTATTGATGGCTTCCAAGCAAATCCTCTACAGGGTGTATAGTCCCGCTTATAGACTTGACAATAATCTCGGTATGATATTCCGAAGGAGGAAGAAGGACGAAAAAGAGTGGAAACATTAAGAGAAGCATATACGAGAGAAAGAAAAAACGCTCAAGTAGAAGGCAAAAGCAAAGATCCAAGGATCATGATTCGGTACCCATGGGCAGTGCTAGTTGTGGCAGGTAGTTTTCCAAACGTAGTCTATCGGCCAGAGAGTGGAAAAAAGTAATCCGTGAAAAGGGGTTCGTTGTTACGCCGGTCTGGTGCGACGTTGCCGATTCTGTGCGAATGAGAAAAGCGGTTGGCTAGGTTTGGTCCAGGACCGAAACAAGAACATTACAGAGCCTCCTCATACTGTTTCCCTTGAGAATACATTCAAGCTACAAGCAATATAAATTTGAACATTTGAAACAAAAAAATACAATTCTCTAATAAGGCTGCTACTTACATTATATATATGTATAATAATTGATACTACTACAACGACATATATTTTTCATAAAAATATATACGCATTTCGATATAAAATTCAATCGTAAAGATAGAAACGTATTACAATGTTATTTGATAATTCGTGCAGGGTACCTAAATACATAGTTGCGAGTTTGTTCGGCCCTCTTGAGGTGGCGGTGACAGCAGTGTTGCCAGGCGAGACTAACCACGACGAAGTGGAAGCGAAGCCTGCTTATGGGGGTTTTGCGAGAGGAAAGGAGGGATTGAAAGGGGAATTGGATGAAAAAAGAAAGGTAGAATCGGGGCAAAGAAAGAGAGAAAGAGCGGTACGCGGACCGGGCAGGGGTGGCGGACCAATTAAATATGGCGACAGCAGTGGGGTGTGGCGCTTGCGCATGCGCAATGACGGTCTCAGCCGGGGGGACAGGAGCCGTGGATAGAACGGGGCAACGACGAGAAGGAACTCAACCGGCCGGCAAGCAGAGGGATCTCGACGAGTACCCGGCGTACGTTTGTGTAGTGCGCGCTGCCTTCGAGAGGATAAGCTCTTCCAGTGCCGCTTGAGAACTTGTCCGCCGACGTTTGTTCGCTTAGCTCCGCTGCGTACAAAGCGTTTCTCTCGTTTTCACTTCGAAACCGGTTGGACTTGTGAAAAAGTAAGAATAAAGTCGAAGAATAATGACGATGGCAACGGAGACAGAAAATACCGGGCCAGAAAGCAAAGAGATCAAAGACGTGAAAGAGATGAAAGAGGCGCTGAAGGACGAAACGCCGCCGGACAATAAGGAAGAGGAGAAAGATGCGACGAAAAAGGAAGATAGTGGTAAAAAGGAAGAGACCGCTGACGCCGCGGCCGCTACGCCATCCTCCGCACCGACTAAGACTATCAGCGTGCATAAGACCAACTACGAGAAGGATGTTGTTTATCTCTATCAGTTTTCCCGAATACCGCTTTTGCCCTCCATCTCGCCGTACTGTCTCAAGGTGGAGACATGGTTGCGACTCAATGGTATCAAATACGAGGTAAGTTTTCATTTATCGTCTTCGTGTATCATTATCAGACTGTGGTCTATTTGCTAGAACAGTGATAAAAAAAAAAGAGAAACTTAATGCACATTTTAAAATATCGATATTTCACATAGGGTATCCGATGTAATTATTCTACTATTTGATAATGAAGGAATTTTTTCTTTTACAATTCAAGTAATAACCTTTAGATCTTGAATCTATATTTCACAAAATATTGCTTGTATTCGCCATTTGCTATTAATAGTGAGGTTAAGACATGTTATGCGTTCTGACATTCTTATTGCATGGTGTTGTAACTTTACTAAATAATTTTCTACAGACAGTAGAACACGGTTGACTTTTAGAATTAATCTTTCAAGATATCTTACAATTGGTTTTTTTTAGATATCACGATTCTAGCAAATATTCTGCCTGTAGGTACTCTCCAATCATTCGAGTTTGACAAACTCGTGATACAGGGCAAAACAAGGGGATCGATGCGAGCACAATGCTCCCAAGGTTGTACCCTAGGCGTCATGTTTCTTCCGGGTATATCCGAGAATGCGTCCTTTTTGACTTTTCGTTATCGTAGATCGACCGGATTAGGTTTCAAAGTATTCATCGTGCTAAGAGTCGTGTATAACTCTATAGAACTGGCGAGCATAATGTGCTACAGAAAAAAAGAGGTAGAAAAGATGAATCCTTTACCAATTATTTCAAAATGGCGACTCTTGTCAACCTTTGTGGACTCAAACTAATGTTTAAAATGCGCTTTCGATATCGTTCACGAACGTTTCTCGCAACTTTCTGCGCAATTAGAATTTTGTTTCGATCACAAATACTTTCTCATTATTCTGTCAACCGTACATTCTTTCATGATTCTCTCGTAATTTTGACGAGAATCTCAAAATGCTTCCCGTCACGATATCGATTTCTCTTAACTGAAAACTTGGTGGACATTTGCATGCGTTTTTCGGATCATCAACTTAAATTCAATTGGTATGGTTCATTGCGTTAATTTATTATTCAGCAGTTACAATTCCTCTATGCGCCGAATCTTTCTAGGTTTTCTGTAATGGGGAATAAAATTGATCGATCCTGAATTTTGCTATTTTCACTATGCAAATATTCGTAGAAATCGTGCTATTTACACTCGAGCGTTTTACACGCACTGTGGATAATGTGTCCACGATTATTTTAACATAGGCGAAGCTGAAGTATGTAATCGCGCGTGTAATAACTGAACATACGAGAATCTCATTCTCATTATACGATACAGATATACGTGTCAGCCTAATCCACCGGAACATCAAACCTGTTACGCTCTTTCGAAACCGAGCGATCTTATATACGTCTCATC